ATTCCACATTATTACAAATAACTTCATTTCTGGACATTTATGGTTTGATTTCTTTGTATGTATGGATCACTTGGGTTGTTACCGACATCTGGTGAAAACTGCATGTCATTAGCACCTCTAGTAATATATTTACTGAGAAAAATGGTGACGTGTTCAATACTTATTTTACCCGCTGTAATAAAGGGCAGATGCACGTATTGTTGCCACATAGTGATGATCTATGTTGCCACTATGATAATAAACCACAAAAACCTTGCTAAGAAACACTTGTGCTATTTTCAAAACCCTCTACAACATTTCACTCTAACCTTGCAGTCTTAATTTACACCTGAAGACCTCACCAAGACCCTACAAAAACCATCCACACTCTGGTTGTTTTTTTTTTTTAACATCAATGTGGAGCAAACATTTCAGTATAACTTCTCACTTAAGTTTTATCATCAGTTATCAAAACAAAGAACTGACAAATTCATATGCTTTTAATACTGTTATTTGATTATTTTATACATTCAGCTAAAAAGCTTGTGTAACAGCTACAAATCAGCTGGAGGATAAGTGCAATATAAATTATTGGTAACACTGGCATCACTGGCAACATCACATCAGAGTCGAGTATAGAAAAACAAGTCAGATTAATGTTAATCTAACATAGATCTGCTAATGAGTAGTAGTGAGTTTCAGAATGCTAATAAAGATCAGCAAAAATAAAAAAAAATCCATTTTACAAAAACTGTTTTTGTACATTTTGTTGTTGATTTATGATCTTTTTCTATTATATCTTTCTCTTCCATTTGATGCAGCTGTAATAATTCAGACTGAGTAACCCAAACTAATATTTACAATATTCACACTAATTACATCAACACTGAAACCAGGTCTTCTTGAAGTGGCAAGACTCAGGTCTTTTTGTCCTTGTCTAGTAAGTCGATGGATTTCCCATCTGAAGGAGTCCAGCTCAGTCCAGCTCTTCTTCCCATCAGTCTGCAGTGAAGGAGCTCATCTGAAACCCCTCTATGTCTGCTCAGTGGACCCCATCGGGGAGAGCAGGGGTACCGCATAGTGCTGCTCAGGAAACGGGGTGAGGGTGATTCAGGGAGGGGAGGAGGATCCCACCAAGACTATGTTGAGGTACAGGAATGTGTGGTGGTGGAGTGAATGACAGGGGAGTACTGAACCGGTGAGTACTGGACCAGAGGGACGGCCAGGTCCAGGTACTCCTGTAATAGGTTAAAACAAAGTTTTAATTTTAAGAAACTCATTTTAAGCTCACATTTAATTGTTTTCCCAATTTTTTTGTTTGTTTGTTTGTTTGATGCATGTCATAATAATCAAGATCTTTGCTTAACACCTTAAAATTAACTGTTGGAGTCGACCCTCTCTTTATGTCAGCAAAATATCTCATTAATTACTAAATAGTTTGGGATTCAATGTTCAGAAAGAAATCAAAATCGATCTACAATTTATTAACTTTTGAAGTCAATCTCATTCAAGATGGCTGCCACAGATAATCAACATTAGCCAATACAAAACTGGCTACAACTCAGGTAAAGGAGACATATCGTGTTGGTAAATCCTTCTTTTTCACATTTAAATCATTCAGCTGGAGTCTATACACAGTAAAACTGCAATGCTTTGGTCTAAATTCCTTCATAGTGTAACTCCACAAACCCCTCTTTTACCTTGCTCTTTTTTGTGTCTCAGAGCAACTCATTTTAATGCTGTCTCTTTAAATCCAATTAGGAGTCGTCGTCTCCCCCACTTCCAGCTTCCAGGCTAGACCATTCTAGTTTGATGGAGGGGTTTATAATTATATACATATTTACAAATTAATTAAAAGATGTAAAAAAAAGGCGGGAAAGACTAAATTCAAATTTTCAGCGCTCCTAGAGACTTCAAATATGCAAGAAAATGTATTTAACGACTAAAAAAGTGGATTTGGCTTGATATGTCCACTTTAATTTGATAGATTTTGAGCTAAAATCTAACATGGTAACTAAGAGTCCTGCATCATAGATATACAGTATAAAGACCTCGTGAAACAGTGAAGTTCTAAAAATGTAAGGAAAAAAAATTGTATAGGTCCTCTGGACGGGTTCTTCTTTAATGAAACGTTTCGTCTCTCTTCCAAGAGACTTCTTCAGTCTGAGAGTTTCAGGCATTTTGAGAGTTTTCACTCATTTACAGGCCAGCGGTCACTCTTTCAGAGATGAGGATGTTCTCATTCTTGATAGGGAGGAAC